ATAGTTAATTTAATTACCCTCCTTTAATCACATATTGGCCCCCACTTTCTACAAATTTCTATTGACCATCACCCCTTTCTCCTAGAAATTTAAACCCATCATTTCATTAATTTCAGCCACATTTACCTTACATTTCACCACAAGCTCTTGACACTTGTAATGAGCATAAAATGGGATAAGATTAGATGAGATATTGAGATATTTAAGTAAAGAAAATGGGATAAAGATGTATTTTTTTGGTGCATCCCGTAGCCTTCCTCAAAGCAAAGAAAGAAAGAGTGAAAGAGAGGGGAGAAAGAGAGAAAAACGAGAAGGAAGAGAAGGGGAGAAGAAAAAAGAAAAAAAAAGAGAAAGCCAAAGAGATCCTTAGAAAAGCTTAATCCAAAGTAAGTAGGTTTTTATTTGAGTATCATATTGTGCTTTGAGTTTCATTTCATGTACTTAAATTATGAGTGGATTTGAGTTATTTTCATGTCTTAAAGTTCTATTTTAAGTATAATCCATGGGTGTTATCTTAAACCATGTAATATATTATTTTGGTGGTTTGTGATGGTTATATGCTTGATGTTTGGGAGGAATCCATGTATGGATGCCTTGTTGTGATAATTTATGATGTTTTAAAAAATATCCATGTATGTGGTGATGGGTTGGATTGGACTTGGACTAAATGTAAATGAACTAAAACATGTTTAAAGTTGGTTTGAAAAGAACTAATAAATTAGTGTTGATGAGGAGTAAATTCTGTTCAAAATTTGGGGTGCATGTTCAAGGACTTTAGGTCGATTTCTGGGTGAAACTTAAAGAATAAAAGTTATTCATCTATATTTCAACTGACTTCTCTTAAAATTTCTTGGTCATTGGATTTGTTTACAAAGAGTTATACCCGATTTAGTACAGATGACTCTAGATAAACTACTATTGGGTAGATTGCTCCCTAAGTTTCAAAATTTTATAATAAATTATGTACTTGGTATTTCAGCCTAATGTTTAGATATGTTATAAATCAATATGTCTAGTATCTAAAATAAAATAGGTAAGATTTAATTATGTTTAGAAGTTAGAAAATTACTTACTCGATTAGAGGTTGCCCTATAGTAAACCCTAAAATCCAATAATTAGACTTGGAAAAAATTAATGGATGTAGATAAAATAAAATGGAATTGGATAAAGTCAATAGACTTACGATTAAGTTAATAAACTTGGATAAAGTTAATGGATCTGGAATAAATTAAATGGACTTGGACTAAAATCAAAAGGCTTGGTTTTAAAGTAGATGGGCGTAGACTAAAAGAAATGGGCTTGGACTAAAATAAATGGACTTAGATAGAAATAAAAGGGATTTAAAAATTCTAAAGAAAATTTATTCTTTTAGAGAGGAAATAAGGAAAAGATTTGGATCTTCTTTTAAATATTAATGAAACGAATGAACAATATTAATGAGCGGAGGTTATGTTCCCACTATGAGTACCATGATTGGTATGTGAGCGATGGGTGAATTCGAGTGTTGGTTGAACCATGAGTATGGCTTGAGAAAGAAGGGTTGGTACCCGAGTTTGGTTGAATGTGATTAAACATATCATCATGTGCATTGGGGGGTGGAATAAATTGAGAAAAATCATTGAGTCATGAAATGACACGGTTTGGTAACCGAATTGAGTGGAATGGGTAATAGCAAAGAATCTATAGTGCAAGCTCTATTTACTAACATCGTTAAACAAGGGATAATTCCGCTAACCGTGTGCTACAACGAGGGATAATTTCGTTACGAGCGAGTAGGTGATATAGAGATCACCGAGAGAGAGTAATAGAGCGAGTAGGTGATAACATGATCACCGAGAGATAGAACGCATGGAGTTGCGGATACCGGGTACCGGATTAAAATGGATGAAAACATGAAAAACGTAATAGCATTGCATATCACATGCATCACCCTACTTATTGAGCTTTGGCTCATTATGTTATTGTATTTATGTATTGTTCGAGCAAGGGCAAAGTTAAGCCGATCGAGGATGCTATCGGTTCTCGCTAAAAGAGGCTCATGTGTCACTCATAAAAATAGGAATATCTTTTATGTCATTAAAAAGGAGTACGGGCTTAATTTGTAAATTTTTAGGCATTTTGAGTATTTTATAAATTATAGAACTATCCGTAATAATGTTTGTAAATCGTATCGTACGTTGCCTATGGTTTAGTTATCTATGTATTTTGTTGTGTATGATGGAGGAAGTAGGGGACTTAGTCCTAACGAGTGTGTCGCGTCGGTCACGCCTGTTAGGTAATATGCGAGGGAGCCGGGGCGTCACACCTTGTTTATTATGTTTAAAACCGTGTGGAGATCCATGCTTCTTTTAGCATCGATCCATCATATGGCCTATTCCACCACGAGTAGGTACAAGTAGGTTTCTTACCCAAAAACGTGAGTTGAACCCACCAAATTAGAGCCGTGGTTAAAATTACTCGATATGATCCGGAGGAGTAATTACTAGATTTTGAAGCACCATAGTAAGGAACACTTTTACTGTAAAACAAGGTCGAAGTATGAATTGAACCAAGTAGAGGTCGAAGAAACTCCAAGTTCGTCTTTCATGTTGAACAATAAGAGCGAAAACACGATTAATAGATGACAAAGGATCCATCAACATGATTTGGGATTGAACGAGTACCAAAGCTCGTCATTTAGGTCTCTTAAGAACCGTATAATATGATCATTCTTTTGGAATTCTTTGACTTTGTTGAGAGTTATACAAGAACATCTAGGAGTACAATCACAAATAGGTATGACAAACAAGTTTGTGAACTCATCCTAAAGAGTCTTAAATTCAAGTATAAAATACATTAACAGAGAGAGCACCTTGATTGAATGAGTGAATATCCTCCCGAAGCTCAACAATGTGAAAATGATCACCATCGGAGAACCGTTCCTTGAGATCTAGCCGGAGATCAAGTGCTATGTCAATCCACAAGATACTTTGTGTGATATTAGGAGATAGAGAGAAATAACCATGATAAAATCATGGTATTACAATGTTCTCAATGAGAATAAAGAGGATCAGTAGCTAATGGGATAGGAATGCTTCCATCAATGAATTTGAGTTTGTTTTTAGAGAGTAACGCCATTCGCATGGCACGGGACCAACTATGGTAATTTGAATCAGTAAGAACAAAAGAAACGAGAACCAAAGATGGATTCTCACTTGGATGGATGTAATATGGACTAGAAGGATGGTCTTCTAGTCTAGAACCGAATGCGAGAGGAAGTCGCCATGAAGAATATAAAAAGATCACATAATGCACAAAGAACGAGAGGAAGCGTCAATGGCAATAGCTCAAATGTTTGTAGTGTTTGGCGACTATTGGGCTATTCGGAAATGTGAAATATAAAAAGAAAATAAGAAGCAAAATTTTGCTTTGATACCATCACGGAAACTTTTTCGGGGACAAAAAATTCAAATTTATTCTCTCCCTTACATATCTTTATATACATATAATTAAGGGCAAAAACGAAAAAGACTAAAATTTGCTAAAACTGTTATGAGAATTATAACGGACTCGGGCATAAAAGGAATATAACTAACAAGCTAACAAAACTAACGGAATAACAAAGCTAACAAATTGTGAAAAACAAAGAATAGCATGTCGGACATGATTAAGCTTGAATAATCGAGTGTGATACTTATCAAAAAATTAAAAATTATTCCTTTTTAAAAAATAAATTCACATATATTTTTGTTCAATTACATTTAATTTTAAAAGACAATGTGGTCGGTACAATTAAAAATGTATGAGTTGACATAATAGTTAATGTAGTTTGTTGACGTGCGTGAAAAGTTCAATATGAATGTTGATTTTTATGGGGATGGAATGAGTTAAAAAGAAATAAAGAAAAAATAGAAACAAATAGACTACATATAGCCTGCGTTTTTTTCTCTAATGACTTTCAGATCATCAAAAAATCTTGACTTGCTAGTTTTTTCTCTTAAAAAATATATTTATGATCATTTTTTGAATTAAAAAAAAAGATAATCATCATCCAAAACTCCATAAATCCATTTGCAACATCAAAATAACTTTTATACACATTTAAACAACAAAAAACCAAATCAATTTTTTTTTTTTTTTTTATCTTTAAATTAAAGCTCTGATCTAGCTTTATCGTCCATTTTTTAGCTCTTAACTACCTACAATCAATTTTTAAGGTTTAGGTTTATAATTAAATGAGCTTATTGTTGGCAAAAAATCAATGTTCCCATGACTCTCTCTCATTCTACGTTCCTCCAAACCACCTCTCTGTCTCTATCTTTACAAGTAAGAATGCTAAGAATTTTTTTTAACATTTAATTAGTTATCAATAAAAACTTAAATTGACATTGTTAAACATTAAAAATTAAAATGAAAATTGAACCAAAATAATGTCGTTTTAGCAAAAACGATGTAGTTTTTGTGGGAGGGTTACTCTTCATTTTAAAGAGTAAAACCTTCCCCAGTTTTAGTTTTTGATAATTACATATCTGAAAATTCAATTAAAATAAAATTTAATCTCACATAAAAAGTAAAATCTGATTCAAACCTTGAGGTTAGTTTCCAAAGAATTTATTAATTTATGTGAATGGGTTAAATGGATGTTGTTAGTAATGCTTTTTTAAAGTAATTTGGAAAAAAAAAAACTTAATTTAGATTGAAACACCAACTGTCTCAAAATTGTATCTTGCTGGTGAATAAAAAAGTATAGTGAAACTCTAATTGTTCAAACCCGAAAAAAATGAAAATCATATAAAAATTTATTTTAGCTTTCTAATTCTCAATTTTTTTTTTAAAAAAAAAAATCTAAAACTTGGCCTAGATTGTGGCTTTAAACGAATTGGACGACAATTTGGCGCTGTGACAGGGCTCTGCATGAGAAAGAAGAGCGGCCCAAAGGTGGCGTGACACGTACCCAATTCTTCCTCCTAGCATTCACATGCAGCTTTGCTTACTATGTCTTCCCAGGCTATCTCTTTCAAATGCTAACTTCACTATCTTGGATATGCTGGATATTCCCAAAATCAATCCTGGCCCAACAGCTGGGTTCAGGTCTTTACGGGCTTGGAATTGGGGCATTTGGGCTCGATTGGTCCACTATCTCCTCCTACCTTGGAAGCCCACTAGCAAGCCCATGGTTTGCCACTGCTAATGTCGCTGCAGGATTTGTGTTTGTCATGTACATTTTGACTCCCCTATGCTATTGGCTTAATGTCTATAAGGCCAAAACCTTCCCTATCTTCTCCGATGACCTCTTCACAACAACAGGTCAAAAGTACAATATTTCAGCCATTATTGATTCTCATTTCCACCTTGACCTTGCCGCCTACAACCGTGAAGGACCTCTTTACCTTAGCACATTTTTTGCTGTGACCTACGGAGTTGGTTTTGCTGCCCTTACTGCTACAATTGTACATGTTGCGCTCTTTCATGGAAGGTACTAAATTTCAAGTTAAAGTAAATTCCTTAATGTTAATTTCATATAGAAGGTTATATTATTTTTATGAACTGTGTTTAGCGCTGAAATGTAGGGAAATATGGGAGCAAAGCAAGGCAAGTTTTCAGGAGAAAAAGATGGACATACACACAAGACTCATGAGCAAGTATAGTCAAGTTCCTGAGTGGTGGTTTGTGTGCATCCTTTTGGTTAATATTGCACTCACCATCTTTGCTTGCGAGTATTACAAAGAACAGCTTCAGTTGCCATGGTGGGGTGTTCTGCTAGCTTGCGGAATTGCCATTATTTTCACTCTTCCAATTGGGATCATTACTGCCATCACTAATCAGGTACTATTCTCTTCTGGCGAACATTAAAATAAAATTTCCATGCCAAATTAGAGCCAATTCAGTTTAAATACCCCATTTATGGTTAATGGCAGTCACCAGGATTGAACATCATCACCGAGTATATAATTGGGTACATCTACCCTGGATATCCGGTTGCTAACATGTGCTTTAAGGTTTATGGGTACATAAGTATGACACAGGCTATAACTTTCCTACAAGACTTCAAACTTGGTCACTACATGAAAATTCCTCCCAGGACAATGTTCATGGCACAGGTTAGTCTACGTACATCGCTGCACCAACTTTTTCCCTCTTATAATTTTTCAATTTCTTTTTTCGACATTGTAACTGATATTACAATTTCTGAACTGTTTTACTTAGGTTGTGGGAACCATCATAGCCTGCATTACCTACTTGGGCACAGCGTGGTGGCTAATGGAAACAATTCCTGACATTTGCGACTCGACAGCTTCCGATAGCGTATGGACATGTCCGAGCGACCATGTGTTCTATGATGCATCTGTGATCTGGGGTTTGATCGGTCCGCGAAGAATCTTCGGAGACTTAGGCACATATGAAGCTGTGAATTGGTTCTTCCTAGGTGGAGCAATTGCACCTATTCTTGTATGGTTAGCTGCTAAGGCATTCCCACAACAAGAGTGGATTAGGCTCATTAACATGCCGGTATTAATAGGTGCCACAGGAATGATGCCACCAGCCACTGCAGTCAACTACACAACTTGGATCCTCGTTGGTTTCTTATCAGGCTTTGTTGTGTATAGGTACAGGCCAGACTTGTGGCAAAGATACAATTATGTTCTTTCTGGGTCATTAGATGCTGGTCTTGCCTTCATGGGGGTGCTATTATATTTTTGCTTGGGGTTGGAGAATATTAGTGTTGATTGGTGGGGAAATGACCTTGATGGATGTCCCTTGGCTGCCTGCCCTACAGCTAAAGGAGTTCATGTTGAAGGCTGCCCGGTTATCAACTAGAGATGTTAAAGCATGTTTATGAATGGCTACGGACATATTTGGTGCATTGAAAGATAGTGAAATTGATTTTTTTTTTTAATTGTACTTGTCCATCCTAAGTCGAGTCAATCAATGACGGTGGATTCATGAAATAATCTTAAAAACAATTAGGCTTTTATTATTATTTAAATAATAATATAATAATAATTAGTAGATCATTTTATTTGGTTTTCCAACAAGAAGTTTCAACCAAATAAAGTAAACTAACGTCGGTAGAATTGACTAGGGAAAAGAACATTTTTGTCCCCTAACTATCATCAAATTTTCATTTAGGTTTCCAATAAAAGGAATTCCCAATTGAGTCCCTTATCTATAGTGTATTAACACGTAGCCCCTATCATTTGTCATTTTAAGACAAATGGTTCCTATTTTTTATGTTTTTGAGGAAAAAATTTTAAGGTAGGGATTAAGTCGGGAATTTTCTATATATGGGGAACCCAATTGGAAAACCACTTTGCCTGGATGTCCAATTGACAGGTTGATGATAGTTTAGGGATGAATTTGTCCTTTGACGATGGAATAGCCCACATAAAAGAAATTGGGCCTTTCTGCCCTCGACCATCGGCCATGCAAATAGAGGCTTAGGCGCTTAGCTACTGAAATCGGGGTTTTTTCCAAGCTTTCTCTCTGAATTTGTCTTCTTTGCTACAAAACCTAAAAAAAAAATAATAATAAAAACCTCAAATCTCCAGCTCCTGTTAGCCATGAAACCCATTGTTTTCTTAAACCCTCAAAATCTGTAGCACAAATTATACTAATCCTCAAAACCCCCACAAAATTATATTTGCCAAAAATCAATGGAGACTCAACCAGACAAGAACAAGTACAACAATGGTGAAGACAAAACAGTAACAACAATAAAAACCCTACGTTCTCAACTAGAATCAAGAATAGAAACCCAACACAAAACCCAACTTGACTTGTTAGCTTCTCTTCAAGATTTAGTACCCAACATTGTTTCCTCTCTTGACTTGTCTTTACAAATTGTCTCTTCTTTCAATAACAAACCCTTCACCCCAACGCCGCCATTACCAGCTCCAATAGCAAGAGCCCACCTTGAAATTGGATCAAATTTAAGGAATCCTAATGATCCACAAGCTAAGTTTGACTCAAGACCTGAAATTTTGGGCGAAAGTTCGAAACTTGAGAGAAAAGATGGAAACTTTGACACCGATGAGGATGAGAGTGGAAGTCCGTTGGCTGTTGTGAGAGTAATGGTAGCTGAATGTTTGCTTCAAAGAGTGCCTTTTAATCCAATTGATTCGTCAACTGTTTTGAGGAAGTTGGAGAATGATCAGAATGCCACCGAAGCGGAGAAGGCGGCTATTAGGGAGGTTGGAGGTGAGTCTGGAGCGATTCTGGCGGTGGAAATGGCTTTGAGATCAATGGCAGAAGAGAATCGTGGGATTGAGCTTGAGGAGTTTGTGGTAAGTGGTAAGTCTAGAGTTATGGTATTGAATATTGATCGAAATAGGTTAGTGAAAGAATTGCCTGAAAGTGCACAATATATACAGAATTTGGAATTGTCGAATTCTAGTGAATTTAACCAGAATCAGAGTAATGGGGTTGTTAATAACGCTAATAATAATGGGGGGGTTGATGTGAATGGCAATGGAATTTATGGGATTGGAGGGCTGGTTTCGGCGCAGAGGCCAATGATGGGGGATATGTGGATGGGTGGTGGTGGGGATATGTGGCCGAGGGGAGGGATGGTGGGGCCTAGAGGTATGATGATGGGGCCGAGAGGGATGATGCAGAGGCCGCCAGTGCCTTTGCCAATGCAATCGCAGCAGCAGAAGCAAAGGAGTGAGGAGGATGAAATGAAGGATTTGGAGGCTTTGCTGAACAAGAAGTCGTTTAGGGAAATGCAAAAATCGAAGACCGGAGAGGAGCTTTTGGACCTCATTCATCGGCCAACTGCGAAGGAAACTGCTGTGGCTGCTAAGGTACTTGGCATCTAGCTCTAGACTTTGCTTCCATTTGTTTGTGCTTTGCAATCTTAGTTAAACCAGCTAACTTTACGCTGAAAAAGAACATATCCAGTAATTTTCGATAGGCTGAATGTTAAAAGTGATCAAGTGTTTAACTCTTTTCTATTTAATATTGCATAGATGAGATCTGTTTGCCATTCGGGGTGTTTGAACTGCATTTTCATTTCAAAAAAAGATTATTATTTAATAAGTCTTTGCTCTTTAGCTTTGGTTGTTCAACCCCTTTTCCATTGCTACTAATTGTATTAGTCAATGACACTATTCAATTATTTGTTTCAGTTCAAAACCAAAGGTGGTTCTCAGCTAAAGGAGTACTGTTCAGCCCTAACAAAAGAGGATTGTAGACGTCAGTGTAGTTCCTTTATTGCATGCGAGAAGGTCAGTAAATACATCATACTAGTATTCTTTATTTCCAACTTAGCATGCAACAGCATGTATATGATCAGGTTGCAGTGTAATCTCTGTTGACAAACCCACTGCTTGACAAATATGCCAAATATGTGGTTTCACATAAATGCCAAAGAAAGCAGATTAAGTGACTATAAGACTAACATGTTTAGAAAAAAGGGAACCAGTTGAACAACAAAGATTGTTTGACCAACTAACATTAGTTTGCTGTTAAGCAATAATTTAATGAATCTTTAAATTTTCTCTCCTGTTCTGTAATAATCATGCAAGTTGATGGTGTTGCCCTAGGTAATTGGAAAATTTCTTTCCTTGATTGTTTCACCCAGCTTAGTTGGACTTCCATGATAATCACGTATTATGCCTTTTGGGTGCCTTAACTGTTTACAGGTTCATTTCCGTCGAATTATTGCTCCACATACTGATGTAAGTCAAGGGGACTGTTCATTCCTAGACACTTGCCGCCACATGAAGGTAACTATTTTCTCCTCCATTACAATAACTTAAACTGGGATTGTTATCAGTAGCATTTTAATCATTTACTTAAACCAATAAAGTTTTTTTCTGTGATAGACTTGCAAGTATGTTCATTATGAGCTTGACCCAACACCTGACGTGTCTCCTATGGCAATGGGTGCTGCAGCACTTCCTCCTCCCAAAGCTTTAAAGCCCCAGCGTGCTGAATATTGTTCAGAAGTAGAACTTGGTGAACCACAATGGATTAATTGTGATATTCGTAATTTTAAGATGGAGATTTTAGGTCAATTTGGTGTTATTATGGCTGATCCGCCATGGGATATTCATATGGAACTGCCTTATGGGACAATGGCTGATGATGAAATGCGCAATCTGAATGTCCCTGTGTTGCAAACTGATGGCCTAATTTTTCTTTGGGTTACTGGACGTGCTATGGAGCTTGGACGTGAATGGTAGGTGTATCTTTGACCATTTGTTAATTATCACTGTGAATGAATTATATTTTGTTCATGGTCAATTATTCTGCCTTGTTGGCTGTAAAACCATGGTACATGTGAATTCTGGTTTCTGCTTATGCAGTTATCATGATATTTCTTGCAGTTTAGAACTTTGGGGTTACAAGCGTGTTGAAGAGATTATTTGGGTAAAGACCAATCAACTTCAGCGAATAATTAGAACAGGCAGAACAGGTCATTGGCTTAACCACAGCAAGGAGCATTGCCTTGTTGGAATAAAGGGAAATCCAGAAGTAAACAGGAATATTGACACTGATGTCATAGTTGCTGAGGTTCGAGAAACGAGTCGGAAGCCAGATGAGGTCTGTAAAAACATGTCCAAAGTTCTCAGTAGTCGATCCATTCCCTGTTACCTTTACCCGTTCGTTTCTTTCATATATTAGTTCTTAATTAACCATTGTTATGTTACCATTATTATGGTTTTGTGGTGCTTTTGAAATAATTCCAGTCCATGCTATCAGGTTTAGTATCAGCTAATATGAATAAGCTTTTTGCAGATGTACCCTCTGCTGGAGAGGATAAGTCCCAGGACAAGGAAGCTGGAATTGTTTGCCCGCATGCACAACACTCAAGCAGGGTATGGTTTTCATGGATCATAGTCACGCTTCATATCTTTTTGACATACTTTAATCTAATTGTTATTTTTAATACCATCAGGTGGATGTCCCTTGGTAACCAGTTGGATGGAGTGCGGTTGGTTGATGAGGGTCTGCGAGCAAGGTTTAAGGCTGCCTACCCAGATGTTGTGGTGCAACCCCCTCTCCTCCCCGAGCTTCTGCAATGGAAATAGACGCCACCGTTTCTCAAATGAGAAGTCCTTTTTCAGTGACAGAATCCAAGTCTGCGGCCGCACAGTTCGCAGACCATGCAGCTCCAGAAACGATCTATGCTTCTGAAGAAAAGCCATTGGCAGTAGATACAGTTATGGCTGGCTGAATTACCTTCGCATTCCATCATATTATTCACATGCACAGTGCTCCAACTTCTTGTTAGTTAGTGAGATGCGTGTAATCATTCTGCCTAGTTTATGATTGTTATTCCTGAGGTCGATGGCTAGAGAGGGATTATATCATAGGCCAATTTGTTATAGTGGTCTAGATATCAGGCTACCTGTATTGCAATTATGCAGCAGAGGATGTAAAGAGTCCTTGACAGTTAAAATGATTTATGCAATGGTAATAATGTTTAGTTTCTTGTGGCAAAACTATGTGTCTCTAACCTTTGTAGCTAGCCAGTAGGCTGTTCTCTTCTTGTTCTTCTCTTCTCTGGATTTGGCAAGTATATTTTCTGGATCAATTTGAATGGACTATGGAAGTCACATATTAACTGTCCTTTTTTATGCTGCCCCAATTCCGTATAGTAACATCTAGATATTGTAGCATGACCCACATTACTTGAGAATATAAAAAAGCCTTCATTCAGCATCCCAGTGAGACAAAGAGGAGGGGACAGACAAAAGAACGATGGACTGTCGGCACTCCGCACAAGGTTTATGGCTAGCTGGCAAGTGGCAATTAATTATAAATTAATACAACTAAGTAATCAAGGACAGCATGTCACGACCAATAATTGCGGGCTGTGGTGTCGTTTTGGACCGTTTCTGTTTAACTTTGATCTTTTAACATGGGAATTGGTGTTTTCGTGTTTATCTTTTTATAGAAAAGAGCAAATCAGGAAGCAGTGAACTTTCTTTTTATACAATCTCATAGATTCTATTGTAAAGATGTAAGCAAAAGTTTGAAATTTGAATACAAAATACAGCAGAAAACAAACTGTATACAGGTAATACCAGAAGCAGCTGCAATATCATGCTTAATAGTAATTAAAAATTGCCACAATATTATTCTCTTGAATGACAGGAAAGAATTACAAAAACCAAAATTTCATATATGAACTGACATATAGAAGCTTTAAATATTAAATCCATTGAAGTAAATAAATAATTACCAAGTGACAAAAAAAATATATAAACCAATCAGTAAATCCTCATCTGGGTGCCTGTAACAATGTCCTTCACATGATAATTGCCCAAATAGATGCTCCTATAATGGAAGATAACAAGATCGAAAATCTGTTTGTTGGTGAAGAAGAAGGTGGTAATGGGATATTGCCAAACACAGTCGGGTAAGAGGGTGCGGTGTCAGGCAATGCGCTAGGACCATAAGATGGAGAGTATGCTGATGCTGAACCATTGCCAGGCACAGATATGTATAGCTTCTGCTTCTTTTGACAACGCCCTGGAACTCCACTCGTAAAGTAGAAGTCCCCATATGTAGTGATGTTAAATAAAGAGTTGCCATTGTTCATGTACAAGATCGGATCTGTCAGGTTGCAGGAGTTGTAGTTTTCTCGTGTGACTTGAACCACAGAATCTTGACTTGGTGGATACAAGAACACTGAAACAAAAAGCTAGACAATGAGAATTTGTTAAGAGCTATTTCTAGGAAGATCATAAAAAGAGAATAGACTAGACGAACTTACAGAGAGAATCTCCAATCTTCAAGGTATGATATTTGGACCAGTAGGTGTACGCTTTTGGATTTGCTGAAGTAGGAACACCCCAAGCATCTAAATCTCCAACCTTGTACTGGTAACAGGAGACTTGGATTTGCACCAGCACAAGAAACTGAAAAGCATACAGTACTAGGAATGTAGGACTTGTGAGATTGACCATCTTAACTGCTCTCAACCTTTCACAAACTTAGAAGTGAGCAAGGACAGCAGAGAGTAGAGGGGTTAAATCTTATTGGTCTATGTATATGTAGATAGATTGGAAGTGCAGAAAAGAACAAGTTTGATGGTGATTTCACCTCAGTGCCCTTCTTTACTACTTATATTGACCAAGTCTTGGTGATTGCGACTTGTTCTATTATCTTAAACAGTAAAACTTTTATAAATAGCGTAATGGGGGTGGAGATCACACAAGCTTTATCAGTAAAATATGTCGTTGAAGGGGCTCCAAAAGAGCGGGGATAGAAAGGGAAATTTCAAGTTGTAGAAGGGTAGTGTTGGACAGGAATCAATCATAGGGGTAAGCATTGCACATGGGCCAGTTGGATAATCATATGACTCAAATTAGCATATGCAAAGTTAGAACTTGGAATAAGCCTTCAAGAAGATAGGATGTTTAGATAAATGACCAACACTGGATTGATATAAATTTGTTATCGTGTCATCGTGTGGAGAGGACATGAGATAGAACAGTCAAACTTGTCTCCCCTCACATGGTTAAGAGGCAAGCACTTTTCCAGCGGTTTCTGAATGCCTGTTTGATCAGAAGAATTCGCTACAGACCTAATTTTAAAAGTGCTGTTAGCAACTTGTTGAAGATTACACTGTTTAGTCATTTAAACAGCTGAAGAGTTACATTTTTCTTTCAGGACAGGACTGTACATATTATGTTTGCTAGTGAAGGTTACTCAGTGATGTTATGTTGCAGTTCACATTTACCAAAGAAGCTGATCCATAGCAAAATGACATGATAGCAGTTGAGGAGTAGGGGAGGGTTTTTTCTACATTTTTCTTTTTCTTCCCCAAAGCTCCAGAGACCACATTTTAGGACTAGTCATTCGGCTCTTGAATCGGAAAGAGCCAGCCTACTTTACATCTCATGCCTATGGTGGAAAGTGATCCACGAGTATTAGAAATTCACTAACTGTGCCCTTGTAGGTTTCCATTTTTTTCCCCTCCTTTTTTTGTGAAGGACTACCCCTTATTGGTGGAGTATTAGGTTTTACATGCCAGAAACAGAAAATCGATCCAGCCCAGTCGAGTTAGAGTCACTGCGAATTTGGCTATATAACACACCTTACCTCGAACAACTTTGCATATGCCGCGAGTCAATGATAAGAGCCTACCAACTGAACAGTAAAAAAAAAAAAAAAAAAAACAAAAAAACTCGGTGTGGCAGTATCCCACTTAATACATTCCATTATGTCTTTTACCTTGACCTTCTTTTTCAATCAAAACTGAAATTAGAGGCCAATCCTTGCAAACTTTGATCCACCACAAAAGCTGCTTTATATATCATTTATTTCAATATAGTTGTAAAGGAGATGAGTTGATCCACAAATTCAATCCTTCCACCATACGGTACAATAGAGTGCAATGGATAGAGAAACAAATTCTTACTTGCAATGGTTAAAAACTGGGGCTAAAAAAGTACACAATGAAATTGCCAAAGTAAATATTTACCAACTGATTGCCCTTCAAAATCCTTGAAAACAATAAGACTGTAAACTGAGATAGCTAAATAGCAAATATCCAAAAACCTGCATATTAATCATTGAAACACAAAAATATTTCCAGCATTTATATATAAAAGGAAGATATAGCAGCAGTAGGTGAACACTAGTTCACATGATAGTAGATAACAAACATCTACTGGCAGTAAGTTTCTCACCCTATGTACCTTTTTTCTTTTTTTACTATACTGTCACTTCATCCTTAACTCCAGAAAACCTTTACTGTCAACTGCAAGTAGGACATAATCCATGATCCTCCTTTATTGATTGGATTGCAAACAGCCAACCAAGTTGCTCCTCCACTATCGGATATAAGGGAGAAAGGTGGCTGCTCACAACATATAAAAAATTCCAGAGGTTTGTTCCTCCAAATTCAATCAGATATTTAAGGGCTCTGCCTCGGTGTCCACCTCTTTCATTGCTGTCCACTCTTGTGACCCTAAATTGAAACAAAATATTCATAATTCAAGAGTGATCATAGCCATGTAAACTAAGAAAAACTGAAAGGGGCCCAGAAAAGACCACCGTATTCGGGAATTTGAAATTAAAATAAGAATTTTTACGATACTGCTTTATTGTCCACCTGCAATGTTTGTGAGTTAGATCAACTAAAAACTTACTTGATCTTTGGCTCTCTGCAATGACCCTGAGCCGCTTCTGCAAAAGAGATGCTACGAAGAGGAAAATAGAGCACATACCAAACATGACAATGATGGGGAACGCATCAACCTTCAAAGGGAAAGGTATAAACCAGATTAGATGGAGGAAGAACAGTTCTCAGAAAAAGGTGCCCGCAGAAAGAAGTTTCATGCAATTGTACTGTGAAACTACTTGTGGAATACCCAAATAAAAATATTTGTGCAAATATAAGGTAATAATTGTATATATGCAAGACACTCACATTGTACAGCACAATGCATACAAAAATGTTGAGAGGAATGCGGAAGAAATTCATGATGGTGCTTCTAGCCTCCTCAGGAATATATTGGGACCTCATCTTCATGATAGATGGCCAGAATATACCTACGCAGGTCTCAAATATGCAGAAGCCAAAAAGCTGGATACAGCCAGAAAAAGAGATGGCTCCACCTTTCTCCCCAGAAGGCACTACCAAGAACTGTTCCAAAACCACAGTTAAATCCACTACCTGCTTTTTTGGCATGGTAACACTAGATAGATAGAGAGAGATAGAGAACATGAGAGTTGACTACATACGCTTGTTATAACAGGAAGGAGAAAGGTAGCAGCAGATATCACAAATACAATCTGCATGTAGCTTTCAACTTTAAGAGACGAGCGAGCCATCAGTCGAGAGGCAATGGAACTTCCTAACATAGATGCCAACATGAAAGTTGCGAAGATGAAACCATGAGGAATATCCTCACCATTTGGGCTCAGAGCAGGAGTCCACAGGAACACAAAGGTGTACATTGAACCCTCAAATAGTGACTGTATGGCACCCAGCAACGCGATTTTCTCATCTGCATTCCACAAGAAATATTAATACCAACAGAAATGCACAAAGCATGAAAAAGGGGGGAAAAAAAAACAAAGGGAGAGAGGAAGAGGAGGATCAGTAGATCACTCATACAACACTAGAAACCCCCATAGGCTATATGGGAGTGAGCATTGAAGATATATCAGTCCGTATTTAGTAGGAAATCGATCAAATTTAACAAGCAGACCAATAAAAAAAATCAGCTCCATACCACAACCATAAAAGCTGACTTTTTTTTCACATTAGAATGAGCATGTAAAAGACCCATTCCAGAATTTCATAGCAATCAACCAATAAAATTTTTTCTCCGTGATGGCCAGCTAATCCTACTTCCTTCACACACTAGAACAAGGACCAAGGTGTCAACAATGAGAAGGGACATGCACATCTCTCATCTTATGCTCCGTTTTATCTTGTATTATAAAATATGTTATTAAACCAACTCCATTAAATCTGGGAGGCTGAAACAGAAATGGTATGGCGAAAGTGCAATTTCAGTTGACATGAATTCGATTAAGATATAGTATCTACTGACTGAAAGGTGAACTACAAGGTTAGAGATTCACCAGAAGCAATGGCAACAACAGCACCCTTGAACTGGGTGAGCAAGTCCTTGTTTTCAGAAGAGTCTCCATAATTTTCAGTCCATGATGACATTATAATGGCCATGCCAATCGCAAGAAAACATGCAGCAGCATCAAATGGGGCAACAGGACCCAACGCCAATGTGTCGACTAGTACATTCCCGAATAATCCAGAAACAATGGCGACTAAACCATTGCCAAGGAATATCGCCTGAGAGAATGTCACTGATAGCCATTGTTGATCAAAATTCCTCTGAAAAATGGGAAGAGAGACAATAAGATATGATGACAATGGAAGATAAGATCAAATATTATATGCAAAATTCTCCCTTACATGTCAAAGTGAACTTCAAAATGCCCTAATTCCTATGATGATAATGTTTAATGGAAACTATATTCCAAGAGTGGCAGTCAGGGATAACTAAAGTCCAAGGAAGACTGAGTATTAGCCTCCAACCCCAAATATGCAGAACATGGAATGGTTCAAACTTGAATGCAATTAATAAAATCCATTGAATTTATAAATGCTCTAAAGGACATCACTTAATTTAAACTGAATGTCCAATCCAGGGCAAAAATATGAGTGTCCAGCATTGCAACTCATCACCCACCTTAAAGTGTTCTGCGACAAGCCAAGACTCGAAGGCTGAAAATAGTAAAGAAGTAGCAATGCCTCCCAATACACGTCCCACCATTAAGATTTTGTACTCGGGAGAATGCTTGGTGGCACAACTCAGTATGTAAGTTATGCAGTAAGTAATACATGCTCTCTTTCTACCCCTGAGTTCATCACACATAACCAATCAGAAATCCATAATGCGATCAGCAATTACCGACTGAGCATTGAAATCAATCAACATGGCATCTTACTGTTTATCCGCTAATGATCCAACAATTGTCCCAAACAACATAGAAGATCCAAAACCAGCAATAAAAAGCTGCCCGATATCTCCCTTTCCAAAACCATACTGACTGTATAGGTAATACACATATGGACCTTGCAGCCAATCCCCAGCTGTTTCCACAAAACAATTCAATCAGTTCCACAAACCATAACATAATAACAATCAAACACAAAAGAGAAAGAAATAATCCCAACATTCTCTTTCAAGATCAGATGTCTACATTTAAATTAGTTACAAGTAACAGATCTAGACAACACATTACTATAAAAACAGCATTAACCCACATCAAAATATTACATTAACCTCCATTCTGAATAAACCCGTTTCACTACACAAAACCAAATAAAATCAAATTCAAACCACAAAAAAAAAAAAAAAAAAAAATCAAAACCCATGTGATCTAGACAAGAAATTGGTACAAAACAACATTAAACCAGATAAAAACGCTACATTAAACACCATTATAAACCAAACCCATATTAAAACACCATCATAAAGACACATTGCAATGAAATTTAACCAAAAAGAAGCAGCAATTGACAGATCTAAAACGTACCCATCATGAGTGAATAAACAACAAGGTAATTATTCTTAAAAGAACTGAAAGCAGATGATGTATTGATTCGATCTCTGCTTGTTTTGCTAAATTCCAATGCTGCTACTACTGCAGCTAGGCCACCAAAAACCATAAAGTAAAAAATGTCCATTCCTCTTACTACTTAATGGATCTAAACAATGAGACTGAGAGAAGGTTTTAAAAGAGAAGTTGCTGCCGAGCTTTGAAATCGCGCGTTTTAAGCTTTGAATAGAGAAGCTAAGAAAATATATACGGGGGAGAGAGAGAGAGAAAAATGAAATTTCATGGGCTCATGATTTCCCGGGAATTTCGCAAAATGGGTCGGGTTGGAATTTGAGGACCCGAACCTCGTCGAGAGTTTGTTTTGTTTGATAAAGGATGCAGGTTTATGAAGGAAGGTTTTGGGCAACTAATTCAGTACCCAAATCTCAGCTTTCAACTCAAAATTTATATTTTATCAACTGAGTTCCTAATCTTTCACATGGTTCTCAATTGGATCACTCTGTTAATCTCTTACATGTTTCTCAATTGGATCATTCTGTCAACGTCTATTTATACTATTTTCTGTCTAATTTGCATAATTTTATAAATAAAAAATGGTGGTTTCTTGAAGAAAGTTTGGTGGAAAAATAATGAACACTAATAGGATGCAATTGAGAAGTGTTTGAAACATTAGGGACTTAATTACGGAATTGATAATTGGGAAATTCATGGCAAGCGAATTCCAGGTCGGCATTAACGGCGGGTTATTGATATGTAGAAGCAAGTTAGTAATTAGGAGTAATTCAATAAAATGACGCGATCCATCAACTAAAAAATATTTGATACTCCGTCGTTTCCAAATTTCTGGCATGCATGCGTCACGATTCCCTTTAGTATTGCAATTTTTTTTTTAATCATCTTGTATGATTGGACTGACTTGTAGTTTTAACGATGACAATAATTTCTTCTCCTCTCCATCGAGAATAGACAATAGCCGTAGAAAACAATCAAACATCAGCCCATTAATTAAGTTGGAATTTGGGAAACAAGTGACCTCAAAATCAATTCTCATCTCCTATCAAAATTCCAAACAAAATGAAGAACAAAAACTGCATTTACAAAATAAGCAAAAACAAGTAAAAGCATCAACAATTATTATTTTCCAATTCAAAAAACTCATTCACTCCAGTACTTCTCACCATCTTTACCATCCTCCACCTCACCATCAGACCCTTCAATCAAACTCATCTTAAACTTCCTCACATCATCAACAGCAGCACTTCTAAACAGCCCCACATCAACAGTACCAGACACCATATGGTATCCACGTGTCTTGAGATCAATGGGTCCATCATGTGGCATAGCAAAACCACACAAGTAGGCCCCACCTTCCAAAACTCCCTTCTCAGCCACCCTCATCATCTCTCTAACCTTCTTATGCCCTGGGTCCCACAAATACCCCATGCTGGCACTCAAATCCAACGGTCCCATTTGCACACAATCAACCCCGTCCACGCCTGAGATTTCCTCGGCCTTTTTCACACCCTCCTCACTCTCTACCTGACACATAATCAACAACTCCTCCCCGTAATTACTCAAATACCCTTCATCAATTCCATAATCAGACGCCCTCACCACCGTGTGAGCCGATCCGCGAATACCCTCCGGTGGAAATCTGCAATACGACACCGCTTTCTTAGCCATTTTCGGGCTGTCAATCATCGGAAACATAATCCCTTGCGGGCCTAGATCGAGGGCTTTTTTGGCCCAAGTCGGAGAACTCTCCGGCAACCGGAGGATCGCCGGGGTTTGAGTCGCGGCGAGGGCACGGAGGCAGTGGAGAGCGTCAGTGATGCCACCTGGACCATGTTCCATGTCCACCACAGCGAAGTCATAACCGGCGAGGCCAGTGATCTCGGCAATTGTTGGAGAGAAGCTGAGGAGGAAGATCCCGTAGAGAGTTTCGCCGTTTTGAAGGCGTGATTTTAAGGAATTAGGAGCGGAGGAGGCAGAGACGCCATTTTTCGTGGAGGGATTGGAAGAGGAAGGGGACGATTTGGCTTTGGGTGAGAATCTAGAGCTTTTCAGGGTTTTGAAATTGAGAGGGAATTTGACTGAATTAGAGAGGGATAATTGGGGTTTCGTTGTGGGTTTTTTGTGATTTAGAAATGCGAGGTAGGAGGTGGCATTGGTGGTGGCGGAGCCGGTGGTGCTGAGGGTGGGCATGGCTATGAAGACTTTGGGGTTATCCAAATTAAAAGGGCTTGAACTTCGAAGTTTGGATTATGACTGAGGTGAGTGTGATATTTATGGGGTTTTTGTTTGTTAATGGAATTAGCAGAGGAAAGAGATTAAAGATTAAAGATTAAAGATAAATTTTCACGTCATTTTTTTTTCATCAATAGATTAATTTTCATGTGATTAGAGTTAGGTTTTTTATTTTTATTTTTTTATGAAATGTAATTAGAGCTAATTAATTGTAGTTAATTTTAATTATTTGGATATAAATAGAACTCTGCTGTTATTATTACAAAAGTCTTTAATTAAGACTAAATTGTAAAATCCTCCCGAGTATAAGCGAAAAAGGAAATATAAAAAAAAAAAATCCTTTATTTTGCCATTTAAACAATATGATTTTTTTTTAATTTTATCTCTTCTTTTAGATTTTGAATAAAAAACTATAAAAAAAACCCTTAATTCCTCTCAATATGAAACTACAAAGGAGAAAAAAATAAAAAAAAGAGTATAAAAAACAATAGAATCATTACTCTCATGTTGAAATTCAACCTTCCAAACGAGTCCAATCCTTACGAGAAATTTTATAATACATAAAAGTGTAATTAGTGATATTTATAATAGTTATTCTATTGAGGAGAGTAATAGATACATTCAATTACATCAAATTTTTTTTTTAATTCTCTAGCTCTTGTTTCTCTCTTCTTTTTTATATTTATCTCTCTTCTCAATAAAGTAATTATTATACATATAATTAGATACTATTTATGTATTATAAAATTTCTCGAATACCCACTACAAGAATAGAATCCTGCGCCAAGCCACCCAAACATCATTATTGCCATCCAAAGTAACCATCTCTCTACTTCCTACAACCATTATCATCATCTTATTGCAAAAACAACCATCTCTTCATTATCGTGATCTGATAGCCATCATCATCCTCTACCATAGACCAGCCACTCAAACTTACTTTTTATCTTAAATTTAAATCTTTCCATCACCCAAACTAATTGAACCCAACACTGTTAGCAACTCTTCAGATAGCCAACTCTCTTCTTTCTTGACCTCAACAGTGATCTACGGCAACGATAGATGCTCTCCACGATGATAGCACCACCACAATCTAGAGGAGTTTTTGATTCATTGCATGTCATTAATTATCTAATAACAATAATAAGATCCATAAAAAAATTATTTAAACCATCTTAAAGCTAATTATTATTAAATATTTTTAAAAATTAATTTTAATTATTAAAAGCAAATTAATAATTTAGTTTTTTTTCCTAAATGGATACGTATATTATTAATTATTCAATAACAAAAGTCAAATCCATTAATAATAAAATTATCTAAACTTCCTTAACACTGACCATCAGTCCTTCTATTCCAAAAAGAATGTTCTCGTTTTTATTTATTTCTTTCTCAAAATACTTGTCTGATCAAAGTTTTTAATACTATATATTTTTTTAAATACCTTTATTTTAAAATGCAGGATTAAATTGGATAGTTTTTCTTCTTAAATAAAAAAGAGTATTTTAAGAAAGTATTGTTAAGAAAATACTGAAATGACATTTTAATTAATAAGTTTTTTAAACTATGTGAAAAGTAAAAAAGAACTAACACTTTGTAACAAAGGGAGTTTTAAAAACAAAATTAAAATTAATTTTAATTCTAAAAAAAAGTCAACACTTTAAGTGTATGAAATAATAGAAAATGATAAATTTTGCTTAAAAACTAATAGTTTGGAGTCCAAAAAGTCCAAATTAATAGTATAAATCTTATTTTAATGCAACTTTAATAGTTTAGGAATAAATTTTGTTATTAAATCATATTCTGGTTAAGGATAAACGTTTTGACGATTAGAGATAGTGATGGAAAAATAACATTTGGCCAGAAAAATAATAATTTGGGATAGTATGGATCTTAAATTGTTATAACCCAATAGTTTGGAAAGTTCTTTACTATTTCGGACATTTGAATTTATGAAAAACAGAAAGTGAATCCGAACGAAATTTGGACTGTAGAAAGAAAAAGTGTAATCAAGAATGATATTGCACAAAAATTATTGAATCACTAGTCGAAGTAAAGAACTTGGTGTGAGTTGTGACTATAATCAAAGAAGTTCTGTTGAGATTGAGCAGTGTTTCTTACAAATCTAAAATAATGTCTTTTGTCCCTCGTATTGAATTAGATATTCATGAAGATGAGAGTATTTTGCCAGTTAACCTAAAACCCCCATGGCCTTCAGCTTTCTTTATCAAATTCTGTGTTGATCATTCGATTAATGTGTTCTACCCAACAAGAAATTTCCAAAGTTTTGCAGGTGTTGGAACACAGCTGTGCGAGCTCCTTATACCAGTTAAAATAGGGCGATTATCTACCAGTGTATTATCCACTGCGCGCGTTTATCTCACATGATAAGGTAGAACCCTTCTTTAATCACACACTCAAAGTTTTCTGTGTACCTGTGGTTCAAGAGACAGGATCTTGCTCATAAATTCTCTTCTGAAATAGTGATAACGGCTTTCGATGCTAGTTTTAATCACTGGAAGACAGTGCCTGTTGTTGAAATTAAGGTTGATCTGTGGCTACAATACTATGAAGGAATAGTCAAGCATTTTATAGCAGGCTATGTGAGTGAAATCATGGAGAAAGGAACTAAAGTTGACTTTTCGTCTTTGCAGCTAATGAAGAGAATCAAACTGGGTAGGCGCAGTTCAATGGAACAGTGCAGCATTTGTTTGGAAAGTTTGGGAGGCGAAGAACCGGCACTTCAGCTGCGATGTTCACACATTTATCGTCCGGGTCGCGTTCGTAAATGGTTCAAAGATAGCCCATCATGTCCATTGAGCCACTCTCATGATGAGTGAATATGATCGGCAGATCATTTGTGGTAATAAGATTAGCGGTTAGCATTCAAGCGTCCTTCCTATTTAGGCTAAACTTTTTCTTAAGTTAGGAGTTAGTTAATTTGACGATGGCCATTCATATTATGTTCTGCATAGCTTTGGAATTCACAGAAGTGCTTATTGGATTCTGTATGCATTATCATGAATCAATGAATAACATGTTGTTCCTTTAAATATATCTCTCATCTTTACTGTTATTTCTAAGCAGAAGTCCTTTGCTGTTAAGAAAAGGAAAAACATGGGAAGTTGTAGATTCATAACTCAGTGATATCCTACAAAATAGGGTGCAAAATCTTCTACTTTGAACAAATTGTATTCTAGAAAACTTGAAATCTGAATGAAATTGGGAATTATGGTATGGTACTAAACTCTCCCCTGGCATTTAAGTGTTTGTTGTTGTTGTTTTTTTTTTTTTTTTTCCTTGGGTCTTCCTGCCAGAAAGTACTCGGTATATCGCTGTACAAAAATGTATAGACGAGGAGTGCATGCTTTGTTAAGGGGATCACTATATGCCTAGTCACCCCTTTTAGCTGTACTTTTTTGGCCTTGGATATGAACAGAAATCTACCCCTCTCAAAAGTATGATACTATCTAAATCTAATACTTAGATTAAAAAATTACACTCGACATTTAATTAACAATCAGTAATCTCTTAGAAGGTTTCAGCTTTGAAGTAACAAAATATGATTGCTGAATTACAAACCATTCGATGCGGGTTAAGGATGTCATGGGATTCAGAACATAGGCATGTGATTCCTGAAGCTGATTCGAAGGAAGCTTTAAAGATGATCGATGAGCGAATCCATCATAGTAATCCCTGGTCTTCTATTATTGCAGACATTCAGTTGCTTATACATCATGAATGAGAAAGTAAACTACCGCATGTCCTAAGAAAAGGTAATGCCAGTGCAGATTTTTCAGCGTAGACGGGTCTTCGCAAGCTGAGAAGTTTCCTTTCTGGCAGCAACCTCCTCCTGGGACGCAGTCTGTTCTCTTTTGAGATGCCTTTGGAACGGTTTTTCCAAGGCATTAGCTTCTTGGTTTTAAGTCCATTACACCAAAAGAAAAACTTTCAAGTACCTTTGGACTTCGAGTTTTGTGGTTCAGACAAAAAAAAAAAAAAAAAAGACTTTGATGTGTACAAGGATTTGTTAGTTTATGGAGTTGTCAAGGAAAAGCGATCAGATTAATTCTTTCTCATGTGATAATTAAATGTAGTTATTCTCAAACAAGAAAAGAGAGTTTAATTGTCGTTGATGGTTGGACATAAATAGAATTCTACTCCTATAGTCGTATGTCTGCCATGGGACTCTTTAATCTTTGGTAAATCGTTAATCTAATACTTGGTTTCGTAAAAAAGAAAGAAAGAAAGAAAATACAAGATCGTACGTAATCCGTGAAGGTATGGGAAAATCTGTTTTTAAAAATTTGAGTTTCTGCAAGTAGGAAAACTTTATAAATAAAAGAAGTCCAAACCAAATATGGACTGTCTATTGCCAGGTTATAAATCGAGTAGGAATTTGTGCGAGTTGACATCCGTATAAAAAAAAGTTCAAAGATATCTTTCTTGAGATTGAACATTAGCTAGCGCGGCCAGAAACAGGAGAAGTTTCAGTAATTTATTTCTCAATCCAAAACAATGCCTCTTTTACCATACGTGGAGCTATACATTCGTGAAGATACGAGTATTTTGCCGGCCAACCAAACACCACCATGGCCTAAAGCTTTCTTTATCAAATTCTCCGTTAATCGATTTGTTAATATATACCATTCTGAAGGATTAATCCAAAACTATGATGGTGAAACAGCAAACTTTTGCCTTTGCTTTCATCCGGTAGAAGTAGGGAGTCTGTATAACACTTTCTATCATCCAATGCAGGACTTTATTTCACGAGATGGCGCAGCAGAGTTCTTTAATGACATGCTTGACACCTTCGAAGTTAAAGTATCCGTGAATCAAAGTATTTTTGACAATTTCTTCTCCAAAATGTCATCAATGGCTTACAATGCTCGAGCTTATGATCGTAAGATAGTGCCGGTCATTGTGGAGATCAAGGTTGATGTGTGGGAAGAATTTCATCCAGGATCATTCGAGTTCTGCATACCAAATTATGTCGATGAAATCATGAGGAAGGGGAGCGTAAACTGTGTTTGCCATTCATCTTTGCAGGTATTGAAGAGACCCAAACCGGACAGCAGTTCAAAGGAACAGTGCCCCATCTGTCTGGCAATAATGGATGGCGAACAAGAGGCACTGCAGTTGCCATGTTCGCACATCTATCATTGCGATTGCATTCTTACGTGGTTGAGAAATAATTCATCATGTCCGTTGTGCCGATATCATATTGAATGAATGTGATAGATTTTGTTGCGAAAATTTACCGTTTAACATTAACTGAGTTTCCTAGGTTCGTGGTAGTAGCATTGTTTAACTATGCTTGTTAATGTTATGTTTGGAGTAGCTGTGGCTTTGACAGAACTGATTGGTATTGTAAACCATCTTTAATTTGCATTTTCTCTTCATATAGATCTCTTTCTGTTGAGCGTTACTTTTAATTCAAGTCTTTCTGTTTGCCAGTTCTTGCAATATTTTGGTTCATGAAACTTACAGAGACAGACAGAGATGAGAGAGCATCAACAAGTTGTGCTATTAGAAACAAATAGACGAGCGCTGACAAGAGAGTAGTGGAACTTGTGAAATAAAGAATGCTAATAAAAATAACATAAGTTCCTCGGTTACTCTAATATTCATGATCTAAAAATCTAAAACCCTCCTTAAATATGTGTAAATATATTTTATTTAATTAATAAAAGCATGTTTATTAAAAATGAGGAATAGAAGTTTAAACTTTAATTAAGAATAAAATAAACATAAATAGGATTAAAAGAGAAGGTTAATGGAATGAGTAAAGATTAAATTAGAGATTGATACCATTAATTGATATGGTTATGTTTTAACCGAGGGATGTAATTGCAAAATCTAAGAGCCCAATCATAAAAATTAAAAGTTTGGATACTCAATTAAAATGATTAAGAACTTTAAGTGACCACTTTCTAATTTAGAAATGCCAAGATTAAGAGCTTATTTGTAAAAAATTAAAATTTTTGAGGACTGAAATTGAAGGATTTGAAGGACCCAAATTAAGTAATTAAAATTTTGGGGATTAAAGTGTAAAATGGTGATACTTTGGAGGACTTATTAATTTATTTTGAGGGACAAATTTCTCTAGAGAAATTGAAAAAATTGAGAGAAAAGGAGAAAAAGAGAGGCGGCAAAACAAGGGGAAAGAAAGGAAAAATATCTAAGGAAGAAAGAAATAATTAAGAAAGAAAAGATGGAGAAGATGAAGAAAAACTCTAGAAAACTTTACAACCAACCTTAATATTGATACAACCGTGACACACTTGGCTTAATCCTAAGGGAAAATCTTGGCTATAAAAGAGGAAGAAGAAGATGGAAAGAGGATTACAAGCTAGAAACGTTTAAGTAACCTTAAAGGAGCAACTACACCAACCAAGAAGAAAGCCACCCAAGCACTATTCCAAACCAACTTCGACACCTTAGAAACACAATAAAATCACCTTAGAACCAGCTTGGAAGATCAAACAAAAGAGGAGGAAAAAATTACCATTTGGGCCAAAACTTTTAGGTAGGAAGAAAGGAAGATTGGGTAAACTTCAAATAAAGTAAGTGTAATCCTCACCCCACCATATGAAAATACTTATTTTGATATATATGTGATGATAATTTGGTGATTTGATGTTTGAGGTTTAGTGGTTAAATGATTGGTAAAATTGTATTGTTGTTGGAATTGGTTGGTTATGTTGATGTGTATGCATTCTTGATGATTAGAATTTGGTGTTTGGATGGTTAAATTGGTGTTAATTAATAAGTTTTTAGGTTGCCCTTATTCTTAGAACAAGGTGGTTGAATTTTCTTAAACATGTTTAAATTGGTGGTTTTAAGACATAATGTTTACAAGGTGTTTGACGAAATGTTTTAACGATGTTTATGGTATTAATTTGCAAAAATGGCATTTAGGTTACGAGAGAGGTTATGGACAATTTTGGCCCAAATGGAAGTTTAGATTGGATGAACAACTTAACCTATTTGATGATTAAATGATGAGGAACATGTTAGTTTAAGAGGTTAGAGGTGAAAATTTGAGAAAAATTGATGAAATGGAAGTTGTCCTTCCATTGGTCAAGTTTCGATCAAGAATGAAAAACGAGAGGTTAATATAATTTTGAGGTTTAGAAGTATAAAATAGCATGAAAAATGATTATAATCATGTGAAAAACAAATGATTTATATTGCCTAAACATTCAGCGATAATGTGTATACAAAGCATGAATTGTGTTCATTACTTATACATGTTTGCATACATACTTGTTTTATATGGAACATGTATTTGATGCATTATTTATGTTACATATTCTTGAAGTTTGAAATTATGAATATTGAGGTTTATGTTGAATGCATTGCATTTTATTTAAATGCACGTGCACATCATAATCATGAAAAAGGTTTTACATTTATGATTTTGATGAAAAGAAGAAGAAAAAGGAAAGGTTTCCAAAGAGGAATGGCAATTTACCTTTTTGAGGTTATGGGAAAGGAATAATCACCCTCTTTTGAAGAGAAGGACACTCTTAGGGTGTAGAGAAAAATGTTATGAGAAGGTAATTAATACTTTTTGTGATTTTTCATAAATTGCATGTTTTTGTGGTTATATCCATAATTGGCGGGATGTACCCGAAGAAAAATGAATTTCGAAAGCATGAAAAGGTTTTTATAAAAGTTGCATAACGTGCATCACATGCATTTCATGGATTATACTTACTATGCATTGGTCACCTTTATTTCTTATGGTATAGGAGAAAAGAAAGATGATTAAGGACTATCATAAAAAAAAACTTGAAGACTTGCCTTTATGTGTGCTTAGTGTGTTAGGGAATGAAAAATTTTACCTTTGCTTAACTTAATTTTAGTTATGTATATTTGGTAATAAGTTAAGCAAATTTCGGATTATACTAGTTGGATACCCGCACTACGTTGCGGGTAGACAACCGTTATATACGCAGAGTTAATGATTTATATAGTGCAATGTCGGTAGAAAGTTTTATTTTTTATGATTAATATAAATCGAATCTATATATAGTTAATTTCTAATATATATATATATAACGGATTGATAGTATATAAAATAAATAGAAAATATACCCAAAAAAACCTACCTAAATTGTAGAAAATATATTAAAGTCAAAAGATTAAAATAAAAATAATAACAAAATTGATTCGATAAATTCGAATAAATATATGTAAAAAAGCAAATAAAAATTGTAAATTTTTTAGCTCATTATTTTTTTTAAAAAAGTCAAATTATCTAAAACATACTTTTAGCTCTCTCTCTCTCTCTCTCTCTCTCTCTCTCTCTCTCTCATATATATATATATATATATATATATATATATATATATATATATATATATATATTAAAAAATAAAAAACTCATTTAAAAATAAAATAATAATTTATTACATAAATTATAATAATATATTTTTAAAAAATAAAAAATTGATGTTCTAAAATAAAAACAAGCAATAAAATTGGTTTTGATAAATTCGAATAAATATATATAAAAAAGCAAATAAAACTTGTGAATTTTTTAAATCGTTATTAGTTTTTTTTAAAAAATTAAGTCAAACTATCTAAAACATACTTTTAGCTCCTCTCTCTCTCTCTCTCTCTCTCTCTCTCTCTCTCTATATATATATATATATATATATATTAGAAAATAAAACACTCATTTAAAAATATAAAAATAAATTATTTTATAAATTATAATAAAATATTTTAAAAAATAAAACATTGATGTTTTAAAATTCTATCCCAAAATTCATATATTAAAAAACTAAATTTATCAACAAATAAAATTATATCAAAACAAATTTATTTATAAATAAAATTATATCAAAAAATTATCGACCATTACAAATTTGTAATAAAATTAAAAATTAAAAATGTTTCGAGTGGCAAGTGTAACTTAAAATATATATATCTATAAGAGAAAGAGGTCAACCTAACAAGGAAAAAAAGAAAAAAAGAGAACTCGGGGTACTAAAGAGGTCAACCTAACAAGGCCAAAAAAAAATAGAGAACTATATATATATATATATATGCAAAGTGGGAAAGAGGCCAGGCGGGGTAGCCAAGGCCCGACATGTGCATGCCTAAGAGCCGGACCTTGACCGTTGGTCATCACTATTTATTTACTGTGGATATATCCTAGTTCTTTTAGTTATATGTAATTAATGGATGGTATGATCAAATGTTGTCAAATTCAATATTGTGGCATAGATTAATTAGTTATATAACTTGTTAATTCAAATAGTCACTTGGATACTTAGCATGATTCAAAGAAATGAATTAAAGGTATAATGAAGGTAATATTTAGATGATCACTTGATTTAATAACTAATGAATTAAGGATAGAAAGGAATTGAAAAAGGCATGACAAGAAAGTTAGTAAGGTTAAGACTTAAAAGGAAATTAATGGTTAAAGAATGAATGTATTTAATGGGCTAGTTTTAAATAAATTAGGAATCAAAGTCCTTAAGTCCAAAAAATGTTTTATATGACCAAAATATTAATTACATGTCTAACTGAATTTATTAAATGCTTTATTGAATTTTTTGAATAATTTCCTAGCCTATAGAATTTTTATAAAAATAATAGTGTTAAATCTTGATTTAATAGTTAGTATTCATGGATTATTTTCTAATCAAGCGTAATACTTGATAATTCAATTATTTTTGAAATAAAATCAATATCAAATAATCCTACCTTGTTGTATAGAATATTTGAAAATGAAATATTTCTAAATTAAGTTTTATATGAATTTTTAAAAGAAATTTAAAAAAAAATAAGAAACATAATTCAACTTATTTTAATGTAAAGTATTTTATTTAAATGATTAATTTGGATTTCATGGATATGAATTTTTGATCAAAATACGACATTTAATACTTCTATACATAACATAAGAGTAACAATATTAATTGAAGTTGGTTAAATTTTTTAAAAAGTTTATGCCTATGTTTCATATGATGTGGACCAATTATTATATTTATTTGGGACCTCATATAAGAATTGTCCATTTAACCAATCAACTGAAAATGTGAATGAAGCTTGTCGGCTTGTATTCATTACACTCCGAATGTAAATCAATACTAGTAATATCCTCGACCTATCTGAATTCTATGTCGGGAGTATTAAAATCGGTGAATGCCAACTACAAAATCGGAGACAAGATTTCAAATAGGAAGCCGATGAGTTTGTATCTTTCTAAAATTATGTGATGTCACTGGTTCTTGATAAAACCACTTGTGTGTTTCAAAGTTTCAATGCAGCTCTTGCCATGGCCAGAGCACCGTCAAAGCTTTGATTCCCGCCAATGAACCCACTCATGTGGACAAAAACACCACCAGGGATTCCGGACTCCCTGGAGAGGTCATCATCCCTCAGACCTCGCCACTGAGCTGGGAGAGGCTTCCTGCTCTCAAAACTATCAGGAGATTTCGCAACTGCCTGCACTCGCCACTGCTTGCTCCTGTCATCCTGCAAAATATTACACTATGATTAGTATTTTGAAATTTGTCAGGCATAAACTTAACGGCTCAACCTCGACAACCCCTTTTTCTTTTTCATTTTTTTCGTTCTTTGTTGTTTGCACTGAGGGTGGGGAAACAGGGATTTATCATTAATAGCTTCCCACCTTGCGGTCAATGAACCTAGCGTGTCTGAGAGATTCATAAACCTCAGTTCAGAGATAGTCAAGTATCCTTCTTGATTAGATCTAGACATGCTAAAACACCAACAATAGAAACAACCCTTGAAATTTCCTTCATGTGTCATCTATTCTAATGATAGGCTCTGCAAAGAATGGTTCTTCATTTTAAACAGACAAACAGTAGACATTAATCTGAAAATGAAACCAAACCAAGTCATGCATAATCATAGACGTACCTGATAAAGAACATACTTAACCAAAGGATCACTCTTCAGTTCCTCCTCGAGCTCAAATAGGTGAAGTTTCCACTGTAAGATACAAAATCCAATCAGAATTCTCCGGAAATTAGAGATTATGGTTGCAGTTTTTTCCTCCATGGTGTAGATGATATGGTCAGGCGAAAATGAGCTACAAAAGCAAGATGACAGTACCATCACACAAGCCAAATCCTAGTGAGTTGCAAATTCTATTCAAGAAGAAAAATTAACATTCTAAAAGGAATTTTCCACATAACGTAATTATGCCAACTTAAGGACTACAGATAGCAGCCAATTATTCTATTGCATACATGCAAACTGCTTCTCTCTTCTTCTTCTTCTTTCATTTTTTGAGGTTTGGGGATTGAATATGCAGATGGGAAGCAATTATCAAAGAATTATCCATCCCATCATAATACATAAAGGCAAAAGTGAAACCAGTACCATTGCTTGCATATACACAGCACTGAAGCACATAAAGCCAAAAGATATTATAGGAATAACAGAAAGCAATGGAAGTGCAGGAACAAGTGCACCTATTAACTCACAGGGCAAAATGTTTCCAAGAACATAATTTCACCGCTACGATCAACATCAAATCTAGCTGCAAGACACTCCATTACAATTGACCGAGCTGGTAACCAAGACTTTGCATGAAAGCGAACACTCTGTAAATAAAACAAAGGTCAGCAACTATAAAGATATGAATAACATGAAACTACATATCAGAATCCTTTATTCCCACAGCTTAGACAATTAATGAAGGAAAAATGAAAGGAATAATAGCAAAACAAGATGCGGTCGTTGAAGTGTGTTTAGAGAAACTAACTCTTCAAATAAAGTAAAAACTCACATCTAAAAACTCACTGCCAGCAAGAGCCATTGCTCGTTCAAAGGCCCCATTCTCATTTTTAGGTGATTGATCAGGATCTGTCCAATCCAAATTCAATTTCCCAACTCTTGAAGACAAATGTGTGCTATTCACATATCTTGGAGGCTGGTCTGTATCATACTGATTGATTCCATTGTCAATGGCATCAATTGCCTGCAACAAGTAAAACAAGGTGTTCTTGAATGATAAAAAAAAAAAAGTTAACCACCGCCAAACAAGATGAGCAACAGAAACAAGGATCTTGATTGAATCAAAACTTTCAGGATGTGAAGATATCAGGAAACATATCAGGTTGGTCCCATGGTAATTCAATGCAATTGATTGAGACCAGGAACGTTGTGGAAAACCAAGAAAGCTCTGGAGTCACACTATTTAAAAGCATACAGTCATAACAATATCAATCATAAATCTATAGACACAGGAGATGAGAACTGTTGAATTCAGACATTGTCAGCATTAGAATGGGACCAACCCAACCCAACTTTCCACATAGCACCAGCCCTACATTACATGGAGTATTTCAATGGATCCTGAAGCTTCATGTAGAATTATTTCATCTAGATGACAATTATATTTCCTAAGTTCATGTGTAATTCATCTCGTCATCATTTGCAAACCTAAACACCCAGGAATAACATGTTCATGCCCAAAGTTATCTATAAGACCATTGACAAATGCAGCATCACCTTTTGAGAATATTGATATGATCAGAATAAGAAGCACATTATAGAATGCTTATATAACCCACGATGTTTTGGGGAAGCGCATAAGTAGAATCTTTGGTGCAAAAAGCAAAGGTCTCAAAAAACATTTCTGAACACTATCCATGACATCAATAAGGATAGTAACCTAAATTTCTCAATATGCAGAACTTAGCACCTCCATAAAGCTCTTGTAAATAGCCAAGAACAAGCGATGCACATTTGGGTGACCTTCGTTCACTTGAAGCTCCTTAGCTATAATCTCCTTTCCAAAGTGCTAAAGAAAGAGAGTAGAAATCAGATTGTTAATCGGGAAAACAATTAAACTACCACAGTTGGATTGTACACAAAACTTCTATTAAATTCCACACTAAATGCATTAATTTGCATTTTCAAAACAAGGAATACCTTATAAACAAGGCCAGCACTACTAAGCTTGGTAGAGAATCCATGTCCAAAAACCTCCCCGAATCCTTTTTGATGGTGATCATAACGGTCACGACTTGGATCATACACACCTCCAACATCAAGCACAGCATCAAGACCCTCCAACACCTGCAAGAACCTCACATCCATTCACACTGCTTTCACAAAAAATATTCAAAATGTGTACAAAGTCAAACTATCTTATAAGCTAGCTATAAACCTATAAACAATAAGTAACTAGAAGAATCCAAATCCCACTACTCCGACACTCAAACCCTCGTTATCACAAAAGATTCTAAATTCATCACCATTGTTTCCATTTATTAGCATCCATTCTCACTAGTACGACTAAAAAATTCTAAGAAAAATAAAGGTCCCACGACCCTCTTAGGCAAATTCCTTTCTCATAAAACAACGTCCAACTTCCAGCACATCATTCAGCATTTTTTAGCAAGACTAGCAAAGTTCAAATGAAAAAAAAAAAAAAAAGCAAAAACAAAATCCTCCAAAACACTAACAAAACCAACCTTTAAATTCTCAGCTGTCCCTGCTTTACTTCCTAAAGTTTCAATTACTTTAGTATCTATGATTTCTAGGTAACAAAACCAAGCCTTCAAATTCTCAAACTTTCCCCACTCCGAACCCCCAAAGTTTCAATCTTTGCAGTGTCTACAGCATCAAACTATCAAAACGAAAAAAGGGTTTGCTTTATTATTACCTGCGGGTCACGGGTTCGTACAATTTCAGCATCGGAATATTTGTTAGTGAGGAGAATCATGAAGCAGCCAAGAGCCTCATCGCAGTGAAAGCTGCCATTGTGGGTGCCCACGCGCTTTAGGGGCACGTGGTTAGGAGATCCAGTGGAGTAAGCAGGAGAAGAAACTGAAGGAGAAGTGGCCGCCATGAGAGGGATTATGGCGAGAGAAGGAATTAGGGTTTTAGACAGGTTAAAGCTGGAGAATAGCTTCTGGTTAAAGTTAAACCCTCTTGTTAGTGCCAACATATCCCTCTCCAAATTTTCCAAGTCAGATTCTCAATAGCCTTGCTATAGCATATTACTGATGGGTCCAGCCCCACTTTAGCGGTCCTAATCCTAAGACAATATATATTATATATGCACACACACTACTTGTTAAGGATTGAAAAAACACCGTACAAATCACTGTACTTTTCATTATTGATACTAAATTTGTCAAAAAAATTTGTTTTGATTTCTAATTTAATTTATGTTGTATTTTGATCCCTAATAGCTTGGAGGATAAAGAGGAACAACGATGAGGTCAATTTCGACCATCTCGATTGTCAAATTTACCACTATTTTGTTCATCCCGAAGAGTAGAATTCGTTTGTGGTGGTCACAAGTCATAAAATAGTTGAAAAATAGATCCAAAACTCAAAATATTTTAAATTTTTTTATTTTTATTTAAATTTTTGTGTATATTAAAATGAGTTTTGAGATTCTAAATGAGTTTATTGATTTTATTTATGTAATTTTGAAATTTTTTTTTTTACAAAAATAGAGTTGAATTTGGGTTTAAGGACGCTATAAACTCTAAGCTCAACTTTTTTACGAAATAGAGTTCGTAAAAAATTACAATCGACTTTTTCTCTTTTTTTTTCTATAGACTCTAAGGCGCAGCAGTGTCGACCTAATCCTCTAGGCTGTAGGGCTGGCTCATGCTTGAAGTTTTAATTTAATTTAATTTAAAGATTCTTCAAAAAAAAATTAAAATATATTTTTAAAATCTTTATGTAGCTTCATTTAATTTATTTTTTAAATTTTAATTTTTTTAAAAAAGTCATTATCTATTAATTTTTGTACAAATTCATACTTTAATTGTAACTTTATATATATATATATATATAAATCTTATGAAAAGTATATTTTTAAAGCAATTTTAAAATTTTGAATTAAAATTTCAATCGAGATTCTTAAATTTTTTTATTTATGAATCAATGCACAAATAAGAATGAATAATATATTTTTTAAGTAGAAAAATTATATAAAACACAAAGAAGAATTATTTAAATACAATATATTTTTTTTATTTTTAATCTTTTATTTGATATATTTTAGTAAATATGTAACATAGCATAAACTATCAAATTATAATGATTTTATTTTATTCTACTTGCAGCATTGCGCGTGTGATCGATTAGAAAACCAATATTTTTGGTTAATCTTAGAAAAAAACAACTCTCGTTGAATCTATTTTTAAAACAAACTTAAACATTAAATATTTTCATATGTATTGAAATAAACATATATCAATAAAGCAAAATAATAATAGCATAAATATTGCTAAAAAAAAGGTGTTTTATTTAATTTATTATAACAACCTATGTTGGTTTTTAAAACATTAAAATAACAAATAAATATATACATACATATATGTATGTGCGTGCACAAATTCGCTACTACTTTAAGCATTGAACGATGACTTGCTCACACAAAACACGAACAACGAGACTAGTATATATTATAATGATAATATGTTGTTTCATTCTATCATTATCCAACTTTCATCGGATCCTCAAAAATTTATACGATTTATTTAAAAATTTTGTTTATCTAGGGATTTGAGTTATCATTGATTTTGGAGTTGCCATCTAGTATTAAAGGTAATTAAGAACCTAAAATGGACACTAGTTTAGAGATTCTAAGAGAACGAGTTAGTTATTCCTTTGGAAAGATAACAATCACTCAAAAGCATCATTTCCTAAGAAAGTTACCATATCTAGTTTAGTCCTAAAATTTATCTCTTAAAAATTTCTATTTTTGCCAAAATTGGTCCTAAGTCAAAATTTCAAATGTTATTTCTTAAGCCCAATTAATTTTTTATTTTTGGTTGTGGCATCATGTTGAATCGATCGTCGGACCTCTCCGTCGGGAGTCTTGTCAATTCAATATTGAATTTAGTTTAAGTCTCGACATAATTAGTATATCAAAGAACGACCTAATATTTAAGATGTGATTGATTTGAGTCACAAGTGACCTACCCCTACTAATAGTCTTGTTATCCCGGACGACCCGCCCTTACTAATGGTCTTGTTGTCGTAGGTGACTAACCATTTATGATGGTCTTATTTTCAAGGACAACCTATCCTAATATTTATGTAACACCCCCGACCTAGGATCTAGATAGGTCGAGAGTATTATCGATATTGACTTATATTCTTGATGCAATGAATGCATGCCAACGCCGATAATACTCTCAACCTATCTAAGTCCTAGGTCGAAGGTGTTACGAGTGATATCAAAGCAAGGTGAGACCTTAGTAATCTTAATAAGATGATCGATTAAACACATGCAAGTCGAACCTTAGCGTCAATTAAGTAATAATGGTATTTGCTTATCGGTAAATATATGTTTGTATGATGTATTTTCTTATTGATGTATGACTATTATATGAGTATTATTGGATTTTTATTATTTGATTATAAATGATATAATGGGTGAATTATTATAAGCAATTAAAGGAAAAGAGAGTAACATAGTACATGATTAAATGTGTGACTATTGTAGGATGTCGTTAAAGAAGAACGTTAATAATAATAGTGAAGTCGGTCCGAGTAGGATTACTACGGATCGAAAGAATAATTAATGGCACTACTTAGATGACGAGTAAGACACGATACAACAAATACAAAGGATGATGGAAGCTCAACAATAGTAGCAATAAATCCAATAATGGCTAGGTAACCACAATGTGCTAATATAATTGACCATTTTCAAAATTTTAATTTGAAAGGGTTTAGAGGTAAACCAAATCCAATTGCTGCTAAGGAAAAGATAGAATAAATAGAGACTATATTTGAGCATATGACATTAGAGGATGCCGATAGGGTAGCTTGTGCTACCTTTATGTTATTAGGAGATGCTCACAATTGTTAAGAGTCAATAAAAGTCTCTCAGATGTGCCTCGAATTACTTGGACATGATTTAAGGGAGTGTTTAATAAGAAATACTTCTCGAATACGGTTAAGTCTTGAAAAATTCAAGAAATTTGAACAAAGAGATATGACAATGGCGGAGTACATTTAAAGGTTTGAGCATGTTGTCACTTTGCTAAATTTATTTTAGGCAATGAGGCACGGAAAAAGGAATACTTTTTTAGAGGTTTAAAGGCAAAGATTCATAGCTTAGTCCGAGTGTTGATTGATAATTATGCCTGATATGGTCGGTCGAGCATTGAAGATTGAATCGGACCGAAGGAATGGACCTACCTTCCACTAGCAGTAGATAAAATATTCCTAGTAGGGTTACCTGGTCCTTTAGGTAAGAGGAAACTATTTACGAGGCCATAATAAGGAAAAACTAAGAAGGTTAAGGCATTTACTAGAATATAAAATATTGATGTACGGAGTACTCCTAAATGTCTTAAGTGTGGCTACCCCTCATATGGGTGACTATTTAATTGGCACAAATATGTGCTATTTTTATCGAGAGGTTGGGTATTTAGCGATTGATTCCTTAAAAAGAAAAGCCACAATCGCACATAAGGTTCCTAGTTGAGTTTACACTATAACTTCGAGTAGATAGATATAGGAAATGCAAAGGTTATATACAACAATATTCTAATCTTCAATATTACTACATATTCATTAATAGATTCGGGTGTTATACGTTTATTTATTTCATGGTTTTTATTAAGAAGGTTAAGTGTGATACCCGAACTATTAGAAATAATTTATAAGGTGACTCTTCCATCGGGAGAGTCAATTTAATCTCGACATATGGTTAGAAATTATGAGTTACATATTTGTAATAATACCCAATATATGGACTTAATAGTCCCGAGAATTCAAGACTTTGATATCATCTTAGACATGGATTGCTTGTTCAATAATTGTACATCGATTAACCGTGTAACAAGAAAGGTAATTTTCTAACAATCGAGAGTAACCTTTCGAGTTTTTATCCGAAACTAAGGTAGGATTGATAAATATTATTTTTACAATGACGGTTTGAAAATTAGTAAAAGGAGGATGTATGAGTTACTTAGTGAATATGGTTGATACTGGTAAGGAGGAGAGTCCAAAATTGAAAGACATTAAAGTGGTAAGGGACTTTCTCAATGTTTTTCTTAGAGTCTATCAAGACTACCCCTAAGGAGGGAGATTGACTTTAAGATTGAATTGGAACTAGAAACACCGTCGATATCTAAGACATTATATAAAATGGCTCTAGCAGAACTAAAAGAGTTAAAGATACAATTGCAAGAACTACTAGATAAAGAATATATTTAGCAAGTTGTTCATCGAGGAGAGCATCGATATTATTTAAGAAGAAAAATGATAGACCACTATAATTATATATTAATTACGGAGATTTAAACCGAGTAATCATTAACAATAAATATTCATTTTCTTGGATTGATGATTTGTTTGACAAGTTGAGGGGAAGTTCGGTGTTCTATAAAATTAATTTACGAGTTACGGTATTATCGCTTGAAAATTAAGAAGGATGATATTAAAGAGATGGCTTTTAAAACCCGATATGGTCACTATGAATTTCTAGTAATGTTATTTGGGTTAACAAATACTCCAGCCATATTTATGGATTTGATGAATCGAGTATTTCATGAATACATGGATGATTTTATCATAATTTTTATTGATGATATCCTAATATATTCTAAAAATCATGATGAATATGTGGAATATTTGACTAAGACACCGTAAGCCTTATACGAGCATAAATTATATGTTAAACTCAAGAAGTATACTTTTTGGCTTTAGTAAGTAGCATTTCTTAGGCATGTGATTTTCAAAGATGAGGTTATAATAGATCCTAGTATAATAGTAAGTAATGCACGAATGGAAGAAACCAAGAAATATATGAGAGTTGAGGAGCTTCCTTAGTATACCTACTACAAAAAGTTTTGGAAGGATTTTCCAAGATAGTCGCTCCATTGGCCAAGTTGACAACGAAAAATACTAAGTTTGAGTGGGATGATAACCGTGAAAGGAGTTTCCAAGAGCTAAAATTTAGGTTAACTA